CTTTTTTCCTTGAGGAGCTCCGCCTATGGAAAATGCATAGACTGGGGGAAAATAGCCCCGCCTTCCCGCAGGCTGCAGCGGGATGTACTTGGAAAATTGTACCATAAAACCACATAGCGTTAATCTCACGTAAAAAAAATTATCGCCGTTAAAATGGCCTCGCGTTAACGCGATAATAACGCGATAATTTTGACAGCACTAATATATATATATATATATATATATATATATATTATTATTATTATTATTATTATTTTAAGACAATCTGCTCCGTGCTAATTCCAGATAGGGATACCATTTAAAGGGACTTTAACCCTTTTAAGCCAAGTGTATCATATTTGATACATTAGTTTTTGAGACTTCTGCATCATCAGTGTGATGTTTATGTTGTTGAAACACTGACTTAAATATTCAGACATATGTAGTGAACAGAAAATGTAATAAAGATTATACAAAATTGCCTTATGTATCACATTTGATGCACAAAAAAAGACCTAATTTAACTTACATTTTACAGAAAGTTCAATGACATTTTAATTTTGAGAAAATTGAATGTTCTTTCAATTATTTCTTGGTTCAGGCTTTAAAGGGTTAAACCGTAGAAGGGTATATGAATGAACATTTTAACTGCACTGGAAATTGAAAATTCTGTTTTCCAAGGATATTTGAATGCACCATTCCCTACACCACTAGCTTTTAAGGCCATTACTGTGACAAGCTACAGCTAGACTAATGTATGCAATAATAAATACCAAATAGATATTTCTTTAATGCTTTACAGCCGAGTAAAATTTAAGATTTAATATTTGAGGACAACCTGTGCTTTTTCGAGCGCCCCTCTTTCCGTTTTATTTTGAAGGTCTCGCCTCCTAATATCCGGTTTTCTCTCCGCAATCTCGTGAACCTGACGAAGCTTATCCAACTCTGACGTTATGCGCGCGCTCAGCAGTCGCTTCATCCGTCGTTCAAGGGCGCATCAAGCCAGAGCGACTGCGCTAAAATGTTCACACAAAGAGGTGAGTTTAAACTTAATAATGTGATCCACCCTTCAGATCCACAGGGGAGAAAGTTAAGAAGAAGAAAGAAGGTGACATAAAACCAGGCGCGTGCAAAAACAAAGAAAAATGTTTTATTTTGTAATGTAGCAGCAGATGGAGGCTGCCTTATCACCAGCTGATTACTAAATGTAAGAACCTGAAATTCTGCAAAGGAAAATAACTAAAAACTCAAAGTTTTAGAGAAATCTAGGGGGGGGGCGTAAATCTTTTCCATGATCATTACTTACCTACTTGTGTCAATAAACCTTCTGCATAAAATTCATATTTACAAGCACTAATTATCTACATAAATTGATTCTTTAATACATTTTTATTAAAATAGCTATTTATCTATGATTTCACTAAAGACTCCTAGATGACTTGCAGAGACACATCATTTTCTCTTTACCCCATAGAACACAAAATCTAGTTCTGATAAGAGCGGGAATTCTGTACTTATCTTTGACGTTAGTATATTGATGTGTATAATTAACCACAAAAAATTTAAATGTTTTGAATATTCTCCTTGAGAGTATTACTGCTGCCACCATCTGTATTAGAGGGGGAAATGGTAGGGGTGGCCCCCCATCTAGCTCAGCCCCTGCGTCTCTGCAAAGATGCAAATCCTCTGGATCTGCTCCATGGTAGTTCTTTCAGAGGACCAACAGTTGGGCTTATCAAGGCTTCACCCTTGCAACACTATGCAGGAATAAGCACTGGTTGAGTACCTCTAATTAAAGGCTGTCACTCAAAACGCTCACTCTGAATCACCTAGAAATAGTTCAGAGTGGGCGATGGATTACAGAGTGCTTACTGGGCCACATATTTCATAAGCACCAAATATTTCCCTCAAACTTTTAAGCTTCTTTTGATCCAAAGTATATATAATAGAATTTAAAATCCTCCTTCTCACATATAAAGCCTTAAATGGCCAAGCTCCATCTTATATCAGAGATATGATTGCTCGTTATGTTCCTAACAGAGAACTTTGCTTTCAATCTGCAGGTTTACTAGTGGTTCCTAGAATTTGTTAGACTTAAAACTTTCCTTTTTGATAAAGCTTATAGTTAGGGTGACTCAGGTTATCCTGAGCTATCTCTATAGCTATGCTGCTATAGGCTTAGACTGCTGGAGGACATAGGGACCCCTTTTTCTTCATTCTGCTTCATTCTATCTCTATTCTCCCATTCTGCAGAATCTGTTAGTTTAATCTCTAACACTATGCTCTCTTTGCTTTTTCTCATAGTAGCTTCGCCTCATCTTTTCCTGTTTGGCTGTGACTCCATCCTGGGGAGAAATATCAGCTGTGCTGCTGCTATCAAAATCTTTACTTGTACTGGAGATCAGCATGTTTTTCCAGTGTAGTCCTGTTTCTCTGACTGTGACTGGCTGGATGTGCTCTCTTCATCCTCTGACATGTGAGCTGGTTCGGAGCTCGTCTGCCTGGCTGTGTGTTTCCTGGACAGACCGCCTTTTACAGCTGCTTTTTGTGTCTCTGCTTCTGTCTCCTTGAACCCCAGTCGGCCTCAGCAGATGGCTGCTCACTCTGAGTCTGGTTCTGCTGGAGGTTTCTTCCTGTTAAAAGGGAGTTTTTCCTCTCGACAGTCACTACAAGCATGCTTAGTGTGAGGGATTGCTGAAGAGTCAATGAAATCAACTGGTTTTCCTTGGATAGAAAACTTTGAATCAATTTGACTGGATGATCTGGTGAACTGTAAAGTGCCTTGAGATGACATGTGTTGTGGATTTGCGCTATAGAAATAAACTGAATTGAATTGAAAGTGCTTAAATAAATCTAAATTGTAGGAATGTAACATTTCCAGTGATTCTAAGAAAACACGTACCTCACTTTGGAAATGTATTCATGCGGCATTTCCACACAGCAGTCCTCGGGGTCGTCACAGGCAGCTTTCCTGCACCCAAGAGGCCATGCAGATGAAGGTTAGAACATATAACTCAGTCCCAAGATACGCTGCTGACATTTATGGAGAAACAAACCTCCATCAGGTGTGGCCCCCCCCTCAAAGCTGAGCTGGTGGTCGGGGGCCTCTTCTTGTCAGCTCAAGAGTGCGCTGGAGGGCCCAGGCAAAAGCCAGTAACAGAGGGTAGATAAAGAAGGGAGAACTAGAAATAGACGGGCCAAGCATGTCTTGGTTTAGTTTGGAAAAAAAAAAATCAGGCAAGTTCCAGAACGAAATCATTTACATGATAAAACTTAAGCTGGGATTTTTGGGCTATAAGGAAGTGAATCAAGCACAGCATATCAGCACAGATAACTCATGTTCTAAAGCATGGTGGTGGAGGAGTAATGACTTGGGCTTGTTTGGTAAAATAGGAACTAATGCAATGATCTCCACCTGTCCAAAATGGTTCAAATAATCCAGCTTTCCCACAGCATCATAGATCCTCCACCATGCATGACAGATTGTTTTTGCACATTTTGCACCAAAACCTAAAGCTAAAAACTCCCATAAAAAAAAAAAAAGAGCCTCCTTTAGTCTTTGGTTCTTCTCCGGCAGAAAACTTTATACCAAATGTCAGGAAGTGGACCACGTGGGTAAGAAACTTCATTAGATTTTTAACTCCTGGAATTTATTTTAAATTGATGAAGCTCGAGGAAAATTATTTAATGAAAACATTTCATAACCTGTTGACAATCATGTCAGTGCTCAGTACATTTTGCTTTCTCAATTTAATAGAACAGACAAATAATAAAAATACAAAATCATAATTTAGAGTAATGACATCCAGGTAAAGGGTTGAAGTCTCGGCTGTTTTTCCTTCCTGTGGATAAAAAGTGAGTGTTTAGCTTATTAGACTAAACAAATGTGCTGCCAATCAAAAAGCCTGCCGAAAGAAAAAATACATATTGCTAACAAACCATTGTATTCAGAGAATATGACAAAATAAACATGACTCTACGGCAAACTAAATCATGCAAACATTTGCTAAATATAGAAACGCTGGTAAGCATTTCTCATACCCTAACAAACTTATTCCACGTTTTTATTTGAAATTTAAATCATCGGTGCATCTTGTTACAGGGGTGTAAAATGAAGGAAGCAATACGATGACAGGAACGCTCTTTAGAGTTAATTCCCACAGCATGATGCTGCCACCACTGTGTTACCCCAATTAACTAGGGATCAAATACCATATTTATTTAGTAAAAGATATAGATTTTACTTTACACAAAAAAAAAAAACACATTAAAATGCTCCTTAGAGAAAAATCCTGTCAATAAGGAAATTTAATTCTGAAAAAATAGATAATACCATCTCCCTTTCTGTATCATTAAAAACCACAAATTTAAATGTTTTAAATTAAACCCCGACAAGCACATTTACAGATCAATTTAATATTCTACATTTATTTGTATTAAAATAAGAAATAATTTAAAATACCAGCTGAAATGTAAACTGGTTTAACCTCACACTAAGTAATCAGCATCACTCATCAGATAACCTGCTTTGATAGAGTCCGTCACCCAGGAATCTTTTACGATCTTAAACTTCTTCCTAAAGCGGCGTCTCAGAGTCCTCAGATCCAGAATTCTGGTCTCGTTCTCAACAACCACGTATGAAACGCCTTCCTCCAACGTCTGCACCACCGTCCCTCCGTGGTACCGAAACTCCAGCGCCCTGATGTCCAGACCGGTAGCCGCTACGGCGCTTTCTGGATCTCCGATGTTGGCAAACACGTCTAAGTAAATGGTGAACGGTCTGAACATGCTGGTGGGGAGGTCCTCCCAGCCGTAGCGCTCCTCCACCTGCGCCGGATTGACAGCCTGCACCGCGTTGATCCTGCCGAACACCTCCCGCAGCTGCTGCTCGTCCGTGTCCACGAAGTAGCTGTCGCCGTGGCTGTCGTACTCCTTGGCGAAATGTTCCCGGGTGGAGGGAGACATGTGGATCATGTGGCGGGGTTGCCATGGCACCACTTCCTTCTGGTCCAGGCACTCCAGCAGCCAGGAGGCCCAAACCACGTCGTGCTGGTTCGATGAAATCAGGTTCTTCACGCGCATGTTCTCCACCCCAGCGATCACGCAGTAGGTGTCCCGCCCTGGGTTCTGAACTACGATACCTCCACACCTGACAGGAGGGCAACAGCATGAATGATAAACCTATGATGCATGTAAACAATATGTGTATGTGATTTGGAGTAAGTGAAAACATGTTTTCCTCATGCAGAGGAGGAGGGAGGAGACTTTTTGATGTTTGCATTCCTATTCCCTCCCTTTCCATGGAAACACCAGGGAATAACAGAAGATAAGGAGTTATAAAAATGATCTAATTTCATTAATGATTGCATTTAACTGAATTATCTGAAACCCTTGTTCAATCTTTGGCTCTGATCCTGGTTTGATTCAGCCAACTAATGAAAAATGAGACATCAAGGCACCAGATCAAACCAAAACAACTGTTAGGGACATTCTGCTGAAAAATGTTATATAATAAAGGTTTTGCATTTTCCTTAATAGTAGACCATAGAAAATTACTTCAAAAACGGTTTGAAGTTTTCCTCATGTTCAGAGTTCTTAGTTTTAACTTTAATCTTTAAACACATAATTTAAATAATATAAAAGATCCAGTAAGAATATAGGAAGGAAGGAACGAACGAAAGGAAGGAAGGAAGGAAGGAAGGAAGGAAGGAAGGAAGGAA